ACAATAGACAGTAAAACAACGTACAACGTGCTGCGGTACAACTGACCAAAGATTGCCTAACTGCATAAAAAATTCGAAATATCAAAACATCAAAATCCATGTAGGGGCTCGAAAAAAACATAGAAATTCTCCCATGTACTATTCAATTTTTCTTCTTGACTTCTTTCACAAAAATATGTTTTTCAACTAAAAGTGAATTCTTCAAATAAGAAATAAAAAGACAATTTTGTTACTGAAGCATCTTCCTCTAGATTTATCTCAATAACAATGTAGGTCTTTACTAGACTAGAAAAGCCATTGTAAAATAGCTGATAATTCAATAACTTATAAATGTAAGTAAGCTTCATTGAACAACAAAGAATTTACATCATATCATGACAGAGACCCAGTAGGTAAAAATTTAAATCAAAACTTGTATCAGTGGCAGATTTAGAGGGGCACCCCCCCCCCTCCTTGATATTACTTGTATGCACACATATATCCAACAATGTAACAACATAATGCATCCACCTCTGTGCATGTTAATATGTGAAACATGATGTATAATGTAGCAGTAATGTTTGATTGCAATCAGTCAAGACATTGCCCTACAACAGCATACTGTGGAATACTTTATTTTCGCTGGAATTAATTTTCACTGAAAAGGCTTTTTGGGCGTTTTGTGTGGAATTTATTTTCACTGATTTTTGATGAGTTTAATGTGAAGTATAGGAAAAAAAGTATATTCGCTGGATTTTATTTTCACGGAAACATCCCTTCAGCGAAAATAGCGAAAATAAATTCCAAGCGAAAATAAAGTATTCAACAGTATGTTAATTTCTGTCATTCTGATCTAAAAATATTATTGTTCCCATTATATTCAATATAACAATGTAACAAAGTTTGAACAGTCCATGTGTGAGCGAGCTCTGGATTGGCAGAAATGCTTGATTTTGATGCCTTTTTAACATTAAAATGGCCGCTATTCAGCCATCTTGAAATGGATCAACAAGTGGATGTGAGTGCATATGTATGACATAATGTGTGAACTGTATATAAAGTTTAAACAAGACTGGTCAAGACATGTCAGTGATATGACTTTGGAACAGCACTCATTAAAACAAAATGGCCACTAGTCGGCTATTTTAAATCTGATCTGAAAAACAAAATGACATGTATCAAGGTCTCTTAATGTCTAATTCATGTACCAACAAAATCCATCCATACAAGATCCGGTCTGTCCCTGCTTTTAGACTTCATAGCAACAAGGACTAAAAAGGGATGCAATAAATAATGGAATCAAATTAATTTGAGCAAATCATAATTAGTGGTATGTGATATATTTTACTTGTACCAAATGGCAGAGAACAAAACAGCCCAAAAAAACAAATCCTCATCCTGACTAGAGATAGACAAAAAAAATCTAAAAATCTTCATTTAGTAGTCAACACAAAAAAGCTACAAGGAATGTATACTAAATCATTAAGATATGACTTGCAATGTATTTTGGGCATAGAAACACCTCTGTAATTCACTTTAGTGCATGCACTACTAATAGAGCTAATACAGTATTCCATTAGCAATATTTTAAATTGATACATGTCATAATCATCTTTTCGTCTTACCCTGTAGGTTATCAACCACTCCAAATTTAAACAAGTTTATCTCATGCAATTTTAAGAAACTAATCTGGAAGATTTTATAATAATTTGCAAATTTGGTGATCAATCTGTTTTTATAGAAATCTATATGGTTATTTATAATATCATAGATAGCCACATCATCAATGCCTGCCCTGACACTTGACAGTTCAATTTCTGAAATTCCTTTTATAAGCAAACAAGCAGTCTATCGGCTGAGATAGCTCCACTGTTAGCGATGCACATTTCAATTAAAGAACTGAAGATATCATTAGAAAATGAACAATATGCATAGATGTGAAGATATGATCATGAAATGAACAAATATGAGAGAGGTCTACCCAAGGTACATATACACCAAGTATCAAAGCATTCAGGCTTGTAGTTTTCAAGAAGAAGTCGAAAAAGTAAAACATTGACACGGACGACGACAGACAATCACTCATATGATAAGCTCCGCTCGACAAAGTTGACAGCGGAGCTAAAAAAAGTTTGAAGTCCAAAAGAACAATTATGAAGCATGAACTAAGTATAAGTATGATGTAGCTTTAGATGCAACTATGATGGCAGAAAGCAGGAGGTCAGTATACTTAACCTCTGTGAGTAGGTAAGCAGTATACCATTAGTTATAACATAAGAGATGGAAGCTTACTATAATGAAGACTGACAATTACTAGCTGCTTCTTATTCTGCAGTCCGGATTGACAATATAGCATTAGATGACATTTATAGATTGATAGAACAGTATAGTTATTAAACTCAGCTTTGTCCCCTTGAATGCAGGGTGTACCATAGAACAACAACTAACACATTTTGTATGATGTACACGATATCGTTTAAAGTTTGTACACTTTCCATGAATTGTTCACAGTGTTTACCGTCGGGTTTTGAAATAGAAAGTGTCAGAAATGGAAGTACACTTTGTTCATTTGCTTCATTCATAGATTATTAAAAGCATTTTAATTATTCAACAAACCACTCAATGGCAACACAAATGCTATATTCATTAAAATCTTGGAAGCTAGAAAGCTTTGTCATCTTCTTTTAAGTTCTTGATGTAAGGTGGTGAGAGTTTTCCCCTGACTCCTCACTAATTTACATGCAGATTACTTTTCGTTTAAAATCCAGCCATCTTGTATCATCTTGGGAAAAGCTTTATTGATTTTTCTACTACATCACCGTGTTAAGCCCACAATTGAAGCACTCTGTCTTGGTCATCTTATTCAATGCAACGCAGTCAATATCGCATTGGTTATCCACTAATTTAATGACAGCTGGTTGGCCAATTAGGGAATATTCAAATTTGACACCATATGAAATGTAAGAATAGAAGACATCAATATTCAAAGCAAACAGCCGTAGCCTCACTTGTCAGTTACGAATAGTATTCTACCATATTTACGCTATTAAAAAGTGCATCTGTTTAGAAGTATAAAAGGCGATATAGCAGCCTTGTATTGTGTATTCAAGGGAATGCAGAGCTAATACAACATCTGTCAGGATTTTATCAACATATTTCAAACCTTTCAAATCTGAGAATATAATTTTGAACATTGTAAAGTGCCATTATAATAGTTTTACAAACTTCTTAATTGAATTTTTAGTCACAAAATAAATATTTAGTTCATCATATTATATTTTAACAATGTGACATTGCATTAAAAATTGAAAACATTGACACCGGAGGGGAGGGAGGAAGGCTAAAAACAAATGTAGGTACATACATTTTGCATTTAAAACTATCATCAGTTTTGAACATCATACGTTTCATGTGCATCCATTTTAACATTTTATTATATTCTTAAAAATAAATACATCAGCATAGGGAAATTCTTAGTGGAGAAATTACAAGAATTGTTTTTTTTTAACTAATTGAGAACCACCTTTCATCACCTCTCACAAAATAAAAACAATCAAAATTTTGACCAAGACCTGTCTATTCGGAACAAAATTATCAAACAAATTATAGTAATATAAATAAGATGATAGTGTTGTAAAACAAATTGTTTTTCTCTAATAAATGAGTTTTATTCTTTCCCTTTCCCTGTAGCATTCTAATGATCCAAACCCAATAAGCCAATTTATGAAAGTCTGTTTAAAAGAACAGTTTTACAGGAAAATTACTCAACATCACTCAAATACCCATCCCAATAATATTCTGACAATAACAATATAAAAATTCCCATTAATTCAATGATTTAATGAGAACTAGCACTAATATATACATGTACAATAATAAACTGGAGAGAGGAATTAATGTGTAAACAATAAATACCGTATAAGAGCAGACATCACAAATAGCAATAATTATAATGTCAGAAATAGAAAAAATTGTTTCAATTACATTATTTCTGTTTATCGCTTGGTATGTATGCTCACAGAGTTCACAAAACTCATGCATGTACCACAGTACAGGCATTTTTTATAAAATACGAATGATAATGTTGGTATTATAACACCACCGTTCTCAGGGGAATTGTAGTTAATATTACCCTAATTTCGTTATAAAAGTGCTGATAGAATGAAAGTGTTCATTGTTCAGACTTCATAGAATATGAATGAAAACCTTATCCTCCTTGTAAATATGTATCATTACTACGAAAGAATTTTACATTTTAAAAATTTTCACATGATATAACAAGCCAAGTGTACTCAAGCAGTGAAAGGCTATTTGTACGTCATTCTCGTTTCTATTTAGTTATGCAAAACAGCAGTAGAGCACACGCTCCCGTGACTTTTTTTCGATCTTATATTTGCGTGAAATCACGACTATCTTTAAATCACCAATATGCATTTATTAGGAGTGCAAGCATAGCAGTAACAAGAGTTAAATGCCAAGTGAAATCATGTTACTCAGCATGCTGGACAGATCCAACAATTATATATGTAACCTCAAGTGGGTGTGCACACTGCAATTATATTTGTTTACATTGTAATTGTGTCAAAATTTTAATTCACCTTTATAAACACCACAATGGCTTTTAACTCCAATAACAAAAATTATGAATTCAAACTCGTTTATGGTTCATTGTGCTAGTATTTACAATCACGCACTTATTCCATGCGGTTAATAGAATCAACAACTGATTCTCCATCCACAGTATATATATATGCATTGAATTCAGACACAAAAAAAACATAGCAATTAAATGGATCAGATTTCAAAATGGAAATTATATTCTTTACAGATTCAAAATTATGAATAATTTTTGCCTTGACATAAAGATAAAATGAATTAAATGATAAAACTATAATTTTTAAATATTAAAAACTGGTATATGTATAATGATTTGCCAACAATCTCCTAGACCATATGTGCACAATGTATACAAATATTGTTTACAGTCATTGGGAAATTATTCATCGTGCAGTAAAACTTACCTCAGTTAAATATTCAATTCCGCTGGCATTGTTCAGTATGTGTTCAGTTAGCCATAAACCTATTCTTGCAGACCACTCGTTGACACTGTATAAAACAGAATTATTATCAATAATCTTCAAGTGGTACATCAATAATATTGAAGTATGTGTCCTGTTTTTTTTTTATGATTTTTTTTTTCTATAACAGTGTTTGAATAAAAATAGTTTTTCTGTTGTGATATGATATGATATGATATAAATTAAATTAAATTTGTTGAATAAGTTAACATCTACGGTGGTGCGACTATAGATGACATTTACTTCCAGTGATACCAACATCAAAGTTCTACTCAACATTAAAGTTTTTTTTGTTTTTGGACTCGTACGGCAATGTGTGGCACACAAATTCAGTAGAATAGTAATAATTAAACATTTGCGCTTGCAAAATCGCAAATTACAAACAACAACAAATCAATGGAACTGCCGATTTGAAAAAAAAAAAACGAAATATCAACAGTTTTCATGTATAGTAAATCTCTCTAAAAGTCTCACAACTTCCGCTGTACGGCGACTATACGTTTCGTCCACAACAATTAGTAACACTAGTATATACAGAAATCTACGCGAAATAAAGCCGCGTGTTTACTTCAGTGCAGTACATGCTAAGCGAATATCGCAGATTCTTCGTCGCATTCTTTATGCTATTGGCGAACCGCCGTAATCAGTCCCATCTTCTCACTGAGTCAAGTTTTAAAGTCCCAGTGATGATGCGAGTTACTGTCCCGATCCGTTCGGTCCTAGCAAATAGCATCTAGGAGCAGTGACAGGCGTTCGCCGTTTTTACAAGAAGACTCAACCGTCAGCATGTTTTACTAACTAAGTATCTTTCTCTCTTCGCTCATAGACTGGCTACTTACACAGCTGGTCGAGGATGAACGAAAGCCTCAGTTTTGGAAAACAACAGCACCAGTAGAAGAACACGGTATGTTGACAGCATCGCCATCTTGAATTCCAGCTGCTCTAGTGGAGGAATCAACTTCCAGCCTCGTTTTCAACAAGAACGTTGCCTCACTTTCAATTTCCTGCTACCGAGTTACGCATCGCGTACGTTTTTAAACTTCTAGATATCAAAGTCGCCGACCGACTTTGTGGGGAAAGGGCAACCGACACTCCGTTTGACTAGAAAATGTAGTTCCAGATCTCCGTTACAGTTCATTAAAGTACCACTGGAATGACATCAGTACAACTGCAACTAAATTGCGTGGCATTTACGGAAATTTACGGAAGTTTTTATACAAAATAAAGGAAATTAAAAAAATACCAGTATGATGCTTTCGGGTATATTTCCGTAAGTCACATGTACTGTATAAAATATTTGTATTGTTTTTGTTTTCATTACGTTCTTTTCGTCGCGTCTCTGTGAGACTTTGACTGGCCACTTTACAACTACAACGGTAACAAACGTTTCCCGGACTACGTGTACTTCTCGAAAAAGACAGCGTACATGCACACAGCATATCCTAATCACACTCGTTTTGCCATGAACTCACTGCGATACCAATAACTCCTAGTATGTCATTGGCCATTTTGTTTATAGATGGATAGTATAAAACCATGAAAGTTCATGATCAAACGCACTGCCTTTCAAATTAGTATCCGGACGTAACTCATCTCAATTAGAAGCCAGAACATCAGAGTTCTAAAATTCAAATCTATCCGGCTTTAGAGAATGGATTGAATTAATCCTAATAAAGTAATAGAAATGCTGTTGGACAGCATTTTCCTCGGCTGATATGGTCATTCTATTAATGGAGGCGTTAATTTGGCAATAAGTAATTGACTGTGACGGTATTCCGGCGTCTCGTGGGATAAACCCAGTTCATGTGAAAGTAAAAACGGCAAGGAGAACGGACCACGCAGTCTCTGGGGTATGTTTTCAATTGGCTATAGGTCTCAGGAGTTCATAGTGGTATGTAATTAGCACTCATTAGCCCGTAGGCGTTTATTAACACAATACAGATTGACTCTTCTCCTTGGAGAATTCTCCTTTTAGATACCTTGCTAGAGTGATTATTATTCTATGTGGCTGGGTACATTGCCGGACTTGGAATCGGCATGTAATATGTGACTAAAAAATAGAATAGAATAGAATAGAATAGAATAGAATAGAATAGAATAGAATAGAATAGAATAGAATAGAATAGAACCGTAAAGAAATTTGACATTTCTTTATTGGCGTATACATGATAATAATGATTTGGTTGGAAAAAAACTTAAAAGTCGGCTGGAAATATCAAATAAATGAATGATGAAATAATACAGTTACCATTACATCGTGTTATTCACCTAACCACTGGGACAAATCAGTACTACTATACTATATATAAAGCACCACAGCCCGTCCATACATGATCATGAACTTTAGAATGCGCGGCAGATCAAAGTTGATTATTTACACTCTATTTGCTAACATTATATAAATTTGAAGATCCATGAAGGTGAAAATAGATTTTTACGTTCATGGGAGAACTATGGGGTAAAAACAGCACCATTTATTATTTTAAATTATTTTAATTAGCTCCATGGTCACGGAAGATCTATAATTTAGCTAAAATATCAGCACTCTCAATGGTTTTTGTAAAAATCTATTTTCTGGCCGAATTACCTAAATCTAGCTTATGGGGTAGCTAAATAAGTTAAAATAACATTTTAACAGAATGGCAATGTGGTGAACTCGCGCCTCTGTGTCTACAGTCTTGACTTTCAATCATTCCTCTTATCAAGTTCGTTCCATCACATTACACACATAAACGAATTATTCGTTCATTTCACCAATTTGTGACATCAGCTCACTCGTGACGCGTAAATTCGCCTGCATACATTATCACGTTTTTTTCGGATTATATCGACAGCTCAACGTTACGTCATATTTATTAATTGACGCTGGACATTGATTACATGGCTATCATGTAAAACAGACTGCGCTCAGCCTGTCACTCGCATTGTCCTGTCATTGCCATTTCTTAGTGATGTATCATGAGTATGAACCCACTAACAGTAGTTGCATCCATCTATGATTTATTTATATAGATTATACGTACATGATTGTAATTTTAAATTCTGTGAATATCATTAGTAAAAACGAAGAAAAAAAACAAGTACACACTAAATTCGGACATTACCTCGATATCTAAAATATCAAAACGCCGCGAACTTGATTCCCGGATTTGAAGTGACAACATTGGGGGTATATACACCACCAGGGCTTTCGGAACAAACATACATTTCAAATGATATTAAAATATGATGTCCATCGTATGCGTGAATTCTGTTCTCATGTGCCGCATTCAGGGAAAAACGGGTAAAATATGTGTGAAATATATGGCGGGATTTGAGATCTCTGAAAACTCCCAAAGTCAATAAAATTCGTGAAATGAAAAGATTATCGAATGTCAACTTATTTCCCTACCCAGTGAATTTAATATAAACCCAATTTACGTAAACAAGTTCAAATTCCGCAGAATGATTTCAATGTCGTTAACATTATAATCAGTTGCCGAAATAAACTGTTTGCTCATACATGGTACTTCTTAGTACATCCATGGCTCATATAAACAGCTGTTATGACGTCATTGCCACCAAATCAATGAATATCCGTGACACAATGTCGCCCCTGTCCCACAAACCCCATAGTTTGCTTAAACGTAGTCTGGTGATTATATACAATTGTACGACGCACATGGTTTTAAACACCCGACGCTAAAGGTATAAGGAAATCCTTGTCAGTGTTTACTGCGAACTATTTTACATGTATACAGAAATGCTACAAGTCCTATATTTAAGCTTGTAATGCATTAAGGCATTTTTGTTGGCAGTGTATCATTTGACAAACATTATTATTCTATTCAATTTCAAATTTCAGGCATTTATATTACATTACGTTCAAGTGTCCGTTGATAAATTCACTGAGTGCCTCCATGAGTTGAATCTGAGAGAGTCACATCAGATGAGTAAAATACATATGGCGTTGTCAGAATCAGAGACTGATTCGGATCGGGTAAGTATATTACCTGATCCATTAGTGGTATTAAATGAATAGCACAACTCTAGATGACATGAACAGACAAATTAAACGTGCGAGATCACAGCGACACGTTGGCAGTATCAGATCAGTATGCAAATGTGAATCTTGAAGATTAGGTGTCCATGACAAGGCTGCGCAAATTTACCACCTAGCGTAAACATGTCTTACTACCACATGGTGGCGCTCTTCATTTGCTTCTGTTGTCAGTACTTCTTATAATACCCCACCGCAACTTCAGAACTACAACACAAACGTAAATATCTTGTATGATATTATATTGTACACTATCACTTATATTTCACAAACATAATAATATTATACCATAGCTGAGGATACATTTAATCACTCATAATTTAATTATTGCGCTATGTCTTAAAACTTAATTGTTTTAAATGCCTTAAATAATTAACTGTTTATATTTCTATTATTATCATAGTTTAATACTGCAGTCGTTTGGTGGTTTATTGTTCATGTCACTATAGTAATCTCTTACAAGCACATAAACGATCCCATTCATCACATGGTGAAATAGTTGATAACATTAACAATATTAGATTTCGTCTCGTCAATTGTTTTCATGTTTCTTCAAACATATTTCATACATATAACTGATTTAAAAAAATAGTAGTTTGTCTAAAATCATTAGAGAAGTTGAAAATTCAGCAATGATTCTGCCGTATTACTGGTAATTATTGAAATGTAGACTTGTGTATGTGTATTGCGGCATGTTTTCGTTAAAACTCGAGAACACACACATCTCGCGAGACACCGAGTTAACTATAGCCAATACATTACCTTATGCACCGGTCTAGTTTATTTGGTTCCGAAACACTCAGCAGTTCAATTGTTACCATTGAGGGAGTGATCAAAGTCAAAATTAAATGGATGTAAACAATTTTTGGTCCCCCTATATCGATAAAAGAATGTAGCTCGTAATCTAGTTAGCTCAAAAATGTCCGAATACCAGGTTAAATACCAGTGTAGAAATAGCCAAAGCAGGGGGGTAAATCTACTAATATATTGGACTCCAAACCAACTGCTAGTAATACTAAAAGTAATACCAAACACATTGCCACTAATAAAGATATAATTAGGGAGAAAATAAAACATTATTGGAATACGTCAGGGAAAATGAACAAGACCTTAGAAGCAGAAAGTGATTTTCACAATAATATTTTGCAGGAATGAATTTAACTAGACCCGAGCCTCAGAAACAATAGTATATTAATAAACCCACGGTCACGGTCAGTATAACACCTGAAGATATACAGGTAACGCTACAGGTCCAGATGATATTCCGAATGACTTTCTCAAACACGGTGGTCACACAACACAACATACGTGAAGAAATTCATGGTGGGTTTCGACAAGATAGAAATGTGAACACAATATTTTATGTTAAAGGGAACTGCCGTTCCACTAAAATCAAACAATAAGAAGAAGAAGACAACACAAAAAGGTTACACACTGGTCATTGTGTAAATTAAAATTGAAAGATACTAACTCATACATTTACTTAGGTGTGACTATTACAACATCCTTATACGACCATGAACACTTTAGTAAATCATACACAGACTGAAGGAAATTGATGGCTCATTCCAAATCCCTAATTAACTAACAGTTTCAACTGCTTTGAACATGGAGATGTACTATGGAAAAATATCACAGTGTCATCAATTAGCTATGAGAGCAATGTTTGCTTTTACAAAGCAAAGCAGACAACAACAAAATAAAAAGCATACAATACCAGTTTAGTAGTAAACTTGTATTCAGGATTAACAGAAATGTGTCATACCATGCAGTTCTGGGCAATTCAAGTTGATATAAACTCGTGTGAAATCCTTGATAGATTACACAAAATAGATGAAGTAGGGTGGGCAAAAAAGGTCTTCACGGAATTCTCTATAAAACCTACAATATAAATAAAGCTAACTTACCGTGG